GCAACCGGGGGGCGGCAGCAGACGAAACAGATGTCAGGCCACTGCGGAACATGGCAATTGGCTCACAGCACTGGGCCTGCCTGACATCTGGGCCGGGGTCGGGCGAGCCCCTGCGCACGTGCCTCCAGACGGGCGGGGGGGGGGCTGTTGCCGTGCACACCAACACAGTGTGGGCGCCCCCTCCTGCCCTGGCATGGGGGGTCTGCAGTACAGAGCTGGGGAGTGAGCGTGGGGCATGCTGGAAGGGGAGGGTGATGCAGCACTGCGATGGGGAGCAGTGTGTTTGCTGGAAGGGGAGGGTGATGCATCACTGCGATGGGGAGCAGTGTGTTTGTCCGCGTGCTCCACATCCCCACTGCTTTTCCCAGCATCTGTCACACAGCTTTTCCTCAATAACAAACAAGAAGCAAGAATTAGTTTTCTTTTTTTCCTGGAGGCACGATGCCCCCCCACCCCAGCAACATCCATCCTCAGCTTCATTTTCCTCATTTTGTGCTTCATTTGAACGTGAGTGATTCTGCATCCTCTCCTAAGGGCACCTCCCCCCCACCTCCCCGCAGCCTCTGACCACACAGCGAAAATGTGCTGAGCCAATTGAAGGCCTGCGGCTGTATGCCGTCGAAATCCACGGTATTTGTCTGGAAGTCTCCCATCTGACCTCTGCTTCCCTCAGAGGGGTTGCTTTTAATTACCAGGGGCTAATAGGCTGACCTTGGGCTACAGCCAGCCATTTGGAATCCTGCTCCTGGAGACGTTTTGGCTCGGGGGGGGGGGGAGACGGGGGGGGGGGGGGGGGGGGGGGGGGGGGGGGGGGGCGTTCAGGATGAGTGAATTGATGAAGGCCCAAGTCAGGAGGGGAGTCCCTATTCCCTCCCGGTCTCCATCCAAAGCAAAGGAGACACGGAAAAGAGGCACGGCAGCAGGACAGATTTGTTTTTCGGCAGGTGAGGAGAGGGAGCAGCACGGGGCCAGAGCAGTGCTGGCGATAAATGAACTATAAAGCCGAGCGATGAAGAGGAACTCGGCCATTTTGAAGATACGGAGGCACGGCAGCCGGAATAGGGCGCCTGAGGGGGAAACTCCCTGCAGTTTGTTTTTTTTTAATACGTTCGACATGGAAAATGTTTTAGAACAAATAACAGGAGTTTCTAAGACGTCCCCAGCTAGCTAGCGTGGCCCCCTGGAAAAGTGATGCATTATTCATGAGTCAATGAAGGGAAAGATGGGGGAGATCTGTAAAACAATTTATATACCCGAGACCCAAATCGTTGCTGGTACACACCCCCCCCCCCAGTTTGCCAGAACCCCTGCCTCAGCTCCCACGGGAGGGGCCTGAACCAGCGTGGTGCCTCTTTGGTCACGTGTATTGACGGGCCTGACTGGGCCGGTGACGCAGCAGTCCCACGATGCTTTGCTTCTTCTTTCCTTCCACCTCTGGTTGCGGTACTTCCGTCATAAGTCGGCGTGGTGCTGGTTAGTAAGCTTGGGAGCCCAATGGCGGAGAGCACGCTCCCCTTGGCCATGCCCCCCCACACCCTCTCCCTTGTATTAAACACGGGGGAGCTTTAAGATATAGTGCCCCACCGCCGGAGTCGATGGCTCTTACTTATTGAGCAGCGTCCAGCTGATACAGAATGCGCAATGAGCTTCTCCGCCATTATTATTGTGAGCTGCGGGGATTATTTAAACAGCCCCGCATCCCGCCGGCTCGCTCTGGAAGGTGCAGGAGGAGGCAGCACACTCTGCTTTAACCGCTGTCTTCTCATTCTCATTCAGGACTTGCTATAGAATGACAGGGCAGAGACCTTTGCTGATAATTCTGCTACTTGTGTCAGATTACAAGACTGGGCCCCTTGAAGCGAAGGAGTGGAATCCTTGGGGTAGCCTTTATACACCCACACCCCCCAAGTTCCTCTCTTTCTCCCAGCCAGCTTCATACAACCTCTCCAGACTGTGGGCAAAGNACCTGGCACGTCTCTACGCTTCCTGCCCCCCCCATCGGTGTTTATTTGAGTCCCCGCGCCACCCCACCGAGGGCAACTCCCGCATTGCATCCTTGACTGCGAGCCATTCATCTGGCCTCGCAAGACGCAGACCCGCCGTCTATAATTTGAAGCAAAGCTCAATTATGCTCTTTTTCCGGAACAATAAAGTTCTCCCCGCACAAGGTCAGGGTCTTTGTACGTCTGCGGCGCTGTTAACAAACATCTGTCCTGCAGACTAGGCGTGTGCTTCTATCTGGAGCTCCACAGGCAGCCTTGAGCTCCAGAACATAAGGACCTTCTCCTGTTTCATCTAGCGATGGATGAAAATGGCTCCAAACCCTGTAACAAGCTCCTAAAATAAATACAGTGAAATCTCTGAAAACCAGACATTAAGCCCTGGGATGTCTAAGGCCAGTATCACTGACATACAGCAAGGAAGGGACGTGCATTTTATCTGTTTTATTTCTGTATTTTCACCCCTGTATTTATTATTTTTTTGTGTGTGTGCCGTGATGTTTTCTGTGGCGTTTCTCGCAGCGAAGGCGGTTAAGCGAAACATTCCCCTGTTTGGCGTCTCGCTCGTCTACCTGGTTGGCAGCTGGAGTGAGACAAAGATTCACATTTATGGGGATGAAAGCAGTGGAAATGTATTGGGGGGGTTGGAGGGGGGGATGGGGGGGAGTGGCACTCTCTCCGTGTTGCGGTGTCCCCCCCCCCCCCCCCGACTGGGCCTGAAAGGGCCACATTGAGCCCTGCACTCGGAGGAGATTTTGCTCTGACAGACAGGCTATTTTGTCAGGTTCTTGCTGCACGCCGAAAGGAGACAAAAACCCATTTAACCATTTTCTTGGTCCCAGATCAATAGCTGCCCAAGGCTGAGTGAAGCCAGCCAGCCACCCAGGGCCAGCACCCCCCCACCCCAGACAGGAGACATGAAAGCTAGGCTCTATTGTGCATGACCCCTACCTGTTTACATTACCCCATGGAAATATCACACTTTATTTGGCTTGTTATTGTGTTTTGCTATCAATACTGCCACTGAATGAGGGTGGGGCAGTGGACAAGGTGGGGGGGGGGGATTAGGGTGTAGTTATTTAGATGCAGAATAATGAAGTCAGAAGGCCTATAAGAAAGCGGGGCTATTGAGGCATTTTCTCTGCGTTGATTACTCTACCAGAAGCTCGCATCTTTATCCCCGGCTGTAAAGTCTGCGGCAAACAATCGATTAAAGAATACCGAGAGGGGGCATTTATTCTCTAAAGCCCTAAATCTTGCTGGCCACACTTCACGGATTCCTTGGAGAAGAAAACTGGTAGCTGGTGGCGGCACCGGCTGACTTAGCGCTTGCAAGACGGCGGGTGTCCACGGTATCGTTACCGGACACCGTGGCAAGGTAAAGCCTTTCTCGCTGTGCCTGAATGATTGGCGTTTTGTCCCGAGCCAGAAATTCAGACCACGTTAGAACTTAAATCGCACATGGCCACAGGTTGGTTTAGTTACTGCTCCCACTCCAAGGTAAATAAGCTTTATGACATCAGGGGATCTTTGTTCTGGACTTGGTCATCTTATTTTTGTTTAATAATGTCTGTGAGGGCGGTCCAAATCGCCTCCATATCCTGTCAGTGTGGCGTTACACAGAGGGAGGGTCAGCTGTCTGTGCCGTTGCTCATTATGACTCGAAAGCCACAGGAAACTGAACTAGGGAGAAATGAGATCTATCAGCAAACCTGTAGTCAGCATGAGAGAAGAGACCTGATGATGGATGGAGCCTGAGTCCAAGTCTTCTGTAAGAAGGCCATAGACATGTGGCAGGAGACGTCTATTTGTTTGGAGACTTTAACTTACAGTTATGGGTTTCGATAGATGTTCCCAACCAGAATGGAAAAAACGAGCAAAGCAAAGAGGGACACAGGGAAGCCCTGAATAGTGCCGGCCGCTGGATGCTAAATTGGTGTTGCTTTTCCTTCCCTCTTGCAGCAGCTGTATGCCGCCCAGCTGGCCAACATGCAGGTCTCCCCCGGAGCCAAGATGCCCTCTCTCCCACAGCCGCCCAACTCGTCGGGGCCCATCTCGCCCACTGGCTTCAAGGGCGAGAAGAGGCCATCCAGTCCCGTGACTCAAGTCAAGGTATTCAGCCTTCACCCTTCCCAACAGAGAGTGCTCCTGAAGAAATGCTTTACCCATAATGCCTCTTAATGCCTCATAATGCTGTTCAAGCAAATGGTTCTGGTCCTGGTTTCTCCCGAACCTTTGTAAGCTATCAATCTTGAAGACTTTCACTAGGTCCCCTCTCCTCCTCATAAAGCTGTTCATGTGGTAGCTATATCTGTGTAATTTTCCAGGGAGCAAAATATGATCATGAGGAAACGTTTGCAGCCATGAGTGGTCAGGTGACACAGGATGAGATCCATAAACTGATGCAAACATATTCAGTGGGAAAAGCTTTCCCTTGCCGATAACTAATGTGGCCAGTTCTGGGATACACGTATTAGGCCTGGGGTCCGCACTCGTCATCTTAGTTCTAATCGCACCCATCTGCGAAAGTATGAATGAGCATTGGTGTAGAAGGCATCCGTAAGTCATATCGTCAAACAGCAGGGGGCCGCGCTGTGACCCTCAGCCTGCCGGCGTCCCCTCCCACTTGGCAAGCCGCCTCAGGAGCCCCAGCCGCAGCGCAGCAATAGTACCGTGCAGCTAAATTGGATCCATGTTTGCTGGTGCACGCCTGCAAAGGGCACTTTTAATATCTGACATAAATACTCCCTTGGCCATCCGAATACAACTTTCCCAATTCCCTTTTTTCCCTCCATAGTTCCTTTTTGAATTTCTGTAGGATCCCTCAACAAAGCCTGACCCGGTCATGAACTTTAACTGGCAGATGCTTATGGTCCTGCTGGCCTCTTCAGGGATCTTTTGGTTAATGAGAAAGCTGAGTGCTCCATATATCCACGTTTAGCCTTATTGAATGATTAATGGCAATTACAGTTGCGTTTGTAGACGTGGTAGCTGCCTGCAATGAGTCAAATGCTTTGTACAAGTGGACATTAGGCCAGAGCATCTGATTAAGTTAGCCTCGAGTTTAGAGCACTCACAGTTTTAAACCATGTATGTGAGAAGTACCTGTAGAAGCCATCTTTAGCTTGGCCATGTCATTGACAGGCACTTAATTTATGCATATCCAAACTCTGAACATGACAATTTCACTGGACCCAGGTGCGGTGCCCTGGTGCACACCGCAGGTCATCTCCCATTGGTCGTTTCAAACTCTCACGAGCCCCTGCAGAGTTGGCAGGGCAAAAGGAAACACCTCAAATTCTTTGGTTTCTGGGTCTATGAAGCTCATAGGTAACCTGACAGGCTATTCTGTCCAGAATAACTCTGCAAATTGACGCTAGCTTCAGCCGGATGGGTAAATTAATTTGCTGTAACTCTGCTGAAATAAGTACCCAGTTTAGCCTGGGGAATTTCTGTAGAATATCACTCGCTCCTTTTTTTGAATCAATTTGATGCCAAAATACACATTTTGAATTTGAAAGCGCTGAGCTCCGTAGACGCAGGATGGAGGATTTATTCCCCATTAACTGCATATCTAATGGCACCACAGTGTAATTTAATGATATTCATTTATACCGCGCTCACATTTTACGATGGGACGACATAACATTGCGACGAGCCCAGAAATAAACGAGAAAGTATATTAATTTGTAATAAATAGCCGGACCAGCATATCTTGCTATAAATAAGGGGGTAGTGACGGGCAAAATCCTCATGGTAGCACAGGTTCACCTGATGGAGGAGTTTACGTCATACTTTCTTGTGTCTTTTCTAGGTAAGCAAAGTTTGGATGGGACTTCCTTGTATGATTAACAGAACTGCTGTCTATCTCTATCCCGCACCTGCTCCCCCCTTACCCCGCCACAGGATGAGGGAACACAGCCCCTCAACCTTTCCGCCCGACCCAAGACCACCGAGTCAGTGAAGACCCCAACCTCCCCCACACACAGCCTGTTCCCAGGCAGTAAGAGCAGCCCCAACAGCCTTCCAGCCAAGGGCATCCCCAGCCCCATCTCCAGCCTCGCCCGGGGATCCTCCCTGGGTAAGACTGACCCCAGACCAGGGACGCCACCCCTCCGGTTCTGTCCTGGTCTAAGCAGCTCGGCTCCCTATTGGGCCGTGTTCCTCTTACCCTCTTAAGCGGCCTCTTCCTGATAGTCGGATAAATTCCTCACTATTTTCCCAACTTCGCCCTTCATTTGACAAGCGGGATTTGTCCTCTAATCCTGACTCATGGTCAAAACCTACCTTAAATGAAGTGGAGGGTGAGCACTCAGAGTTGGGTTTGTGGGGGAAAATCTGAGTGTTAATCTTTGACAGAAGCCCCTGATGTTTAGAGCGGCGGAGTGTAATGTAAACCCACAGAAGCAGAAACACATAATTTGTTTTTAAGAGCTCCTGCATATCATTGTCTCTCCATATTAAGCCTTTTTATTCTACCTCTGCTATCTGTTATTAAACGCAATCCCAAACCGTTCATTACGGTGGGAGCATTTAGCCGGCGTCCCTGCATCCCCGCGGCCTGCGCCACTCGATCCTTTGAACGTGGCCCTTCTGTTTGTTTGTGTGCTATTTCTGTGTTTTTAACTGCCAGCCAGCCTCACCTCGCTTTCATCTGCTAATTAGACAGGCAAAGGCGACGCCGGCATCGCTGCCTTGTTTTTCCGACATCAGCCACACGGACACACACGAGCGATACATAAACTTGGGTTGGGGTGGGCGGTCAGGGTTCCCACAGAGCACCGCGAAATGTTTCCGTGACACGGGCTGACACGTCACCGTCTCACGACCCCCGCCATGCGCACTCCACGTGCAACTGAGTCTTCATGTGTCCATGCTTTCTGGAACGTTCTCTCACGCGCGGCTCCATCCACAGACATCCTGTCCAGCCTGAACTCCACGGCCCTCTTCGGGGATCAGGACACGGTGATGAAGGCCATCCAGGAGGCCCGAAAGATGCGGGAGCAGATACAGAGGGAGCAGCTACAGCACCACCCGCAGGGCATGGACGGCAAGCTCGCCAGCCTGGGCATGGGCCTCAACAACTGCAGGGGTGACAAGGTGGGTGCCCACCGCCCCCCCCCATCTACCCATTCTCACCAGCCACGTTCCCGCTGTAAAACCTCACACTCCGTCTCCTCTGCATGCCACACACATCCTCACACCTTAACCTGAAAAACCCACCCACCCACCCACCCTGACAACGTGCAATGATCCCCAGGAGCTCAGGGACGCACCCTCTCTCCTCCCACTCTTTTGTAGCCTCCCCAGATTTATTTATTTATTTTCTGATCAACTTTGGCAGGAGAGGCGGCAGAGTTGGTGTTGGTGTGTTTTTCTGTGTGGGTGGGGGTTGGGGGGGGGGTCATGTGAACCCTCTGATGCCCTGTGTGGCTTCACTGTGAAGTCTCTGCCCAATTAAAGCAACCACGTACCCCTTCTGGCCCCCGGTGCGGGACAGGAGCACTTTGTACTGGGACGACTGATGCACACAGGGACTGCCTTTAAAAATATCTTCAATCGATCAGTCAATCAAGGAGCGTTAAAAAAAAATAAAATACGGCATCTTCCAAGGGATTGGTGCCATATTGCCAGTTGGCTGTGGGGAGCAGTCAGGAACTGGGAGTGAAGATTCATTAATAATTTAATGTCTAATACTTTCAACCCAGAAGCCTCAAGTAGGTCAATGTATATATAAAAGTCCTTGAGTATCTATTTTGATTTCATTTATTTTTTTAATTTGGAGTTGGGGATAAACCCAGTTTGAGTGCATGTGTCCGCGAGCGGGGCAAGTGATTCGCGAGCTTGTCCCCAAACAGGCAGCGTTCTGGTTTCTTAGTGCCCCCACGTTGCAGGTCACCCCCCATCACTGGGAAAAGCGGAGCCCGCTTCACCTGGCCTTTGTCTCCCAAGCCCCCCCCCCCCGACGCTTCATTTTGGAATTTCTCGTCAGGTGAGAAGCTCCCATGAATGTCAGTAAGGCCGCACCTGTGGGCGTGCGTAGGTGGCTAGGTGGTGGGGGGGGGGGCGTTAGGGGAGGAGTCTTCCCTTCCCCCGCAGGCACTCTCCCAGCCCCTCCCCCCCCCCCCCCCCCCCCCCCCCCCCCACCCCATCTGCGAGGGTGATTAGCGGTTCAGGGTGTGCCTGTGGCCATCCAGGCATGAAAGACCTTGCTGGGAAACGACATGAATGTTCTGCTGCAACAATACCTGAGAAAGGAGTGTTTGGAGCGGGGGTGCCCCACCCAGGCCGGCATTGTTATTACCCGGCTGAGCCTATCACTCTCTCACCCTCTTTTGTGCTGCAGGTTTTTTTTTCATAATTCTATTGTGTGCCGGGAATGTTTAAACCACTGGAGTCACGTCTGTAAGAAAAGATCTCTTTTTTTCAGGATCAGTTTAAGGGAGTTCACCTGGAACGTACTGTTCTGTGGCCCCGATCGCAGCCCCGCCAGCGGGTCGGGATTTAGAGAATGGAGATGTCTCGTGGGTTAAACCCTAGCTGTCTTGGCGTACCGGTCGGTTTGAGCCAAAGAGGTAGAGAGCCTTGGGAAAAGCCAGGGGGTGATTATTAGGGCTGCTATCTGTCTTAAAGTACGGCTGGTATGTTTGGGTTGTTCTGTTGCTATAGGCTGCCAATCTGGCCTCAGAATTCCCACTTTTATGAGCTGATACCCTCGCCTCCCTCCCAATTTACCCCCCCTCCGGACTCGGTAACTGCGTTTCTAATCGGCGGCGTGGCCGGGGCAGGGAGCCAGTGGGCGGGGTCTTTTTGATGTGGGGCGGAGATTCAGAGTTCTGAAGACCACCCAGCTAAGACAGGGCTTCCAACGTAATGGAAGCCAGTCGTGGCCCTCGAGCCTTGAGACTGAGCTCCATGCGGGCACCTTGCTGGCCTCCTTGCAGGGAGCATGGAGGAGGGATGGTGTGCCTCCTGATATGCCTTGTAATCCAGGAGCGCACTTCTGTCGGGGTGACCCCAGTTATGGGAGTCGCACCAGCGCCCTCCTTTCATTACGGCTAATGGGTTCGCCGGCATCCCGGCCAGAATTAGGTGACATTTAAAGAGCCGCCGCTGTCCTGTCCTCAGCACCCCCAGGCCGACAGTGTGCTTTCAGCATAGACGGTATGAAAAGCGTCGGCCCCCAGCCCTGCCGGAGCTCAGCACCAACAAGCGGCGCTCAGCCACGGGGAAAATAGCCCTTGTTTCAGCTTGGAAGCAGAAGCTATTGTGCTGGACTGTCCCCTGGCACATCCTGACACTCCAAGGAGGCTTAAACGGCAGCAGATAAGAGCGTCCTGTTCAGTCTGTTTCAGAGTATTAATATTTCAGGGATACTCCTCACCTGACATAAATACAGTGCCCCCCCCCCCCTTTAATAGCCCTTTCCCAGTTGGCTGTTTGGAAGTTTATCAATGTGAAAGCTCGCATGAAGATTCTGGAAAGGTAACTTAAATGGGATTAAGGAGAGGTTAAAATCATCTACTGAGGCTGTTGGAGGGGATATTAAATATTGATTTATCCCAGTGTAACGACCAGGCTGCGGAGTGGGCTTAAGTGGTATCTGCAGATGGATCAATCCATCTATTAATACAAAGTGTGACCACAGAGCGTGCCGAGGAGACCTGTATCCTAACCCCCCCCTCCTGTCCTCAGGCCCCCCCCCCCCAGGCTGTCCTCTCAGGTGGAAGAGTCTCCATTTAGATAGAGTGTCCCAGTCCACAAAGCACACATGTGAAATATTTATACTTTACAAATACAAGAATGTCTTTCCCCTTGTTTCTGTGTCCTTTACGTTCCCCCAGTTAAAAGAAAACCTTTTAAAATCCGCTGATTTTTTCCCCCCCAAACATTCATTCCCAAGGTTTTATTGTGTGCAGCAGGAAATGACATCATTACATCATTCAATCAGCCTGATGCCTTTTTCCCCGGCCAGCCGGTAGCTCTTCTGTTTCCTGGAGCGGGGGCAGGACATGTTCAAAGGTCTAAGCTAAATGCAGACATGCATTACAACGGGTGGGTCGCCACCATCTCTGGCTCCACAAACTCCTCACAGTGTTTAAGGCACGTTGCCTCATGGGGATCCCTGGCTAAAAGTTAGCACAGGATTTCGGAGAGAGCCCTGTGACACCAGGTTCTGGCAAGGAGAGGGCCAGGCCATGACGTAAAAAAATCTACCCTCCACGCTCCACCATGCCTGGTTACGCTTAACAGGGCTACTAGTTCACCAGAGGCCGGCCCATGGATCAGATGTATTCCACTGCTGACACCCCCCGAGCAGGAATCAAAAGGTGAATGTCCAGAGTATTAACCTTTTGGCCTGGTCCAGCCCCCCCTCCAGCCCCCCAGCTACATTTATTGATGAGGAGAAAATTCAACGTCCTCCACTCATGGGGGGTGGGTGTATGTGTGGGGGGGGGGGATGTCTGCTGACAGCCGGAGGCCCCCACCGCTAAGTTAGCAGAGGGGGGCACTGCAAACGCCCCTTCCGTCCCGTGCTTGGGTGCTCCATTCAGTGCGGTCTGCACAAAGAGCCGGTGAATAATCTGCCCTGCTCTACAGCACTGGAAGCAATTTTCTGCTTCTTTTCTGCTGCTGTCTTGGAAATTGCCAGCCTAGGCTTTTTGGCCGCGGTGTAAATCCTGGCAAATGCTGGGGCCGGTCGTCCAAATTTGATTATATTCTGCCGTCAGATGCTGGCTGCAGCCAGCAAGTGGCATTGTTGAGTATTGCCTTACATTAATGCCCCCTCTCTGATTGTTTGCATCTGCCAAGGATGTAAAAATAGCCTCGGTCTATCTGCACTGCTCTGCGTGTGTGTGTGTGTGTGTGTGTGTGAGCGTCACGTATGGGATGGGGTCTAAACCAGTCCCAGAGCTTCTGCTCTGGCCTGACACCCTCCACAGAGAGCAGGGCCCTGTCCAGGGTCAGGGGCTGGCCCAGCCAAACCCGCTGCGTGGGAGTGGGGCGCTGCCAAAGCTGTGTGGCTGTGTCCACGTTTTTTCCAGGCATGACGCTCTGGTCGGCATGCAGTCCGAAATGTAGCATTTGGGGGGGGGGGGTTAGGGCAAGGCAGATGCGCCACGTGTGCTAGGAACCCCGGTGAGCACGGGCTGCCATTTTCACTGGGTGTGACCTGGGTGATTGGCCCTTAGTGAATCCTCTTAGCGGATGCCTGCAGACCCCAGTGTCGAATCCCAAAACTGTGGTTGAAGAGACCCATTGTGACCCATCCGCCGTCTTCACGGCCTGTGACCCATCCGCCATTTTCACCGACTGAGACCCATCCGCCGTTTTCACCGGCTATGACCCGTCCTCCATTTTCACCAGCTGTGACCCAACCACACTGCTGAGTGTTTCATGGTCGCAATCATCGTCTTGGTTTCTGATGGAAACACGTGACATGGGAGAAAAGCCTGTGGGAATGAAGCAGCCCCAGAAGTGTCTGGGCTCAGAGTGACTAACCTCAGCCAAGTCGCACACCGGTGCTCCTTGTACAGCAGGAGCATGGCGAGGAATCGGAGAGCCAACACACAAGGGAGGAAATGGTGCTTTCATTCAGGAGACTTGCATCAGAATTACAAATACATGTGTAACCCAATAGAGCGAGTGTAAAAGTCAGGGCTAACATGCGATCGTCTTACATTTGATATTTTCATAAAAAGAGAGAGAGTGGCCTTTGTCTTCCCTGAGCTGCTGTGCCTCACATTTGCGGTCTGGTTACCAAACTGAAGACAGACCCCAGTGTTGGTTTGCAGCCTGGGACAATTAAGTCCCTCCCAGGTCTTTTCCGAGGCCCGAAATGGCAGAGGTTTTGGGCACGCCCCCCGCACGTGCGCCTGGGCCGTCACCCGTTTGGCTTCAGATCCCGCGGGCGGACGAAAGGCGGGAGACCGCATGAAACGGGGCCCTGGGCTCACCACACGGCTGGCTGCACTGGGGAATAAACATTTCATAGCTCCGGCAACCGGGCCGTATAAATAAGAACATGGCGGTGGCGGCTTTCTTTGGGGACTACAGGCAGACGAGGGGCTACATGGATGTAACACTTGCCGTCGAGGTGCAGTCACAGTCTATATTTGTTGTGGGTCGTGGTCCCGGTGCCAGTGCGGTGACCCTGGGCTCGCTCGTGCCATCAGTGACCCTCCCACACTGTCTTACAGCAGCCGACCCGAGGCAGCAGCCCAGTGACGAAAGACTCCCCAGTGCACCTGGTAGCATGGGCGTAAATTATGGGGGGGTTGGGTAATCAAAACCAGCTAATACAACCCCCCCAATAATCATGTCTCCCCCTAAATGGCTGGAGACCTCAACCCTCCCCAATGTTCAAACCAAAGTTATGCCTGTGCCCTTGCACTGTTGAGTGTGTCTTCTGTGTTAAGGCTAATGAAAATAGCAGCTAGAGGAATGGATAGATTTATCTTTTTTTCAATTTTTAATGGAAAGAACTGGAACATGTAGTTCAGCTGTGTTTCTGGTCAGTAGATAACACACCCGGCCTTTTCCATCTTGCACAGTTCCTTTTTTTTCCCCCCGTTCTTAATGTGATCTGATTTTTTTCCCAGAACTTTCTTTTGTGCCGCAGAGCATGTTTCTTGTAGTTTGTCAGGAGGACAGTGCAGCCATTTTCCCCCGAGATCGACGGCAGCCCAATGCTGCTGTCCTCCCCCAATCCCCCCCCCCCTTCCCTCCACACGCAATTGTAAGGCTTATTGCTTTTGACGTGCTATTTATAAAAAAGCGGGAATGCGACGGGGGACCGCAGCCCTGTGCATAAATACAGGACAGCCGGCAGCGTGATGCCGAGGCCCTGGCCTGCCCCCGTTGCCCAAAATATGTCCTGTGGGCTGAACGGCAGTCCTCAGACACATGTTCTGTGGCTTCTGTGATTAAAGCCTTTGTTAAATCGCGGAGATTGGCCCTTTTTCTGGCCCGGGATGAAAACTCGGTAAGTTGCAGTGACGGCGCTCTTGGCTGGGGTGGCGTGACCTCACCGCGTAGCCATCCTCCATTGAGCGAAATGCATTTGTAACCAAATTTGAGGTGAAAAGAGGGAGGAGCTCAGGCAGTGGATGGGATTATTGTGGGCTCCGTTTTTCCACTCGGGCTTGGATTGTACCCCTGTAATTTTAGACGCGGGCCGGGAGCTTGCATGCGGAACTCATTTGGGGGAACGGCGGTAGTTAGGGAGGGAGGGGCACCTCGTTTAAACTTACGTATTGTCTTTCCGTTGCTTGCCACCCGCCCCCCTATCTCCCTCCCCCCTTCCCCGCCCCCCCCCCAGAGGGCCACAGCAAGCCTGTCCTCCCCGCTGCCATGCATGCTGTAAATATCATTTATGACTTGCTATTTACCTAAAACCGGTGACCAGATTGTCTCCGGGGGCCCTGGATGGCCCGCAGCCCCCCCCCCCACCACGCCGCCCGACTGCGCGTCTGTGGCAGAGTGATCAGTAAAAATTTAATGACACCATAAAATAATAAAAATGCCATAAATTTATCGCAGCACTTGATGCAGAGGCTGTAAAGCAGTGATAGTTGGCGGGATACTTCAAGCCTCCGGTAAAAAAAAAAAAAGAAAAAGAGAGAAGAAACCTGATGTTATTGATGTAAATTAGCTTCATAATTTTAAGTGTAATTCTGCAGTTCAGATATAAATTATGCAGGTTATAACCGATAAGTACGTAAAACACAGTGTGTAAAATTTTAGTGGGGATTCATTGTGTGACGGTTGGAGGACGTGCTGAGTTGGTTTAATTGTCATTAGCACTGCATGCGCATGTGGGGAGCAGAGCTGCAGGAGATGCGCCATCAGGGCCACCCTGCATCGCATTTTCTTAGGCAGGTCGATGTAGAAAGGGTCGCGCACCTCATATACACAGACAAACATGGTCGTGGATGAAAGGTGTGTTTTTTCGAGCCAGGCCTCCTCCTCAGTGTCTCGGCACAGACGCCGATGTGGGGGGTGGGGGGGTGGCCGTTCGAGGCAGAGCTCTCCAGGTCCAGGCGACTCCGGAGCGTTGTCAGATCCGGGGCGATGGCGCATGCGGCGGGTGATGGAGAAGACTGGAGGTGGCGATTAATGATGCGCGTTGATGGACGACCCCCTGTTCCTCACAGCCCCTCTGCTGAAAATGATGCTTAATTATCATGAGTTTATAAAGGGATCTGATTGATAAGGGTGGGTAGGAACATCGGGGATGGGGGGGGGGGGCCTGATTTATCACGGGGCACCGAGTCGTCCCAAGTTTTCCCGCAGGAGATTGGAGCAGCACTGGGGTGTTGATCGGGGGTGGGATCGGGCTAATCGCCTATTTGTCTGTCTGTCACCGGCCCGTGGGGCTCTTTCATTAGCCGCTCCGTTGCCGAGCGCATCGCCCCCATGCACACCCTCCATCTTACTCGCGCACTGCGCCGTCTTCCCAGAGGGGGCGCCCCGTATATCATAATCAGAAAACACTTAAATAAGCAGAGCGCATTGCGAGGGCCGGCCTTTGACGGTGCCATAAGCAGGTACAGGCTAATTGTACAGCCCAGCCACTCACGTGGCTCTGAGTGATTATTGTCCCTTGAAGCGTGATGGTAAATTGGAAATGCTGACTTTTTTTTTTTTTTTTGAGTAATAGTTATTGCATTAATAAAATAAGTGGGAGGAATCTGAGCTTTAATATAGTAAAAATAAATGGTATAATGGTGGGTGTGTGTGTGTGTGTATATATACTGTATATGTATATATAAAGTACATGATATACACCCCTATATCACATTTCCTTTTTATGAACTGACATAAGACAGTAGCATGTTAACAGAAACACTCCTCAGACATTTGTTGAATCATGGAAAAAAAAAGGGATTTTTTTGCAATTAAAGACATTTTTGGGATAGTGTTGTACATCGTTGTCATTGTGATTGGTATCTGTATGAGAATTACAGTAGATGTGGGGACGGGCATCAAAGCAAGGATGTGCAGGCCGGCCCCGACTGGTGCTCGCCTTACAACGGCCACCGGCATAGATGCAGGAGGTGCATCTATTTGTGTTTGCGCTCGCATATGTGTGTGTGCATGTGGCAGGGGAGCTGTTAGCGGCGGGGATGCAGCCCACCTGCGCATCTATTCAAGCTGCGCACGGTAAGCAGGCAGCCCGACCAGAATGGTGTGGGGGGTGGGGGGCAGGGAGCACCTTTGGCAGAGATTGAATTCTCACTTTGGAAGTAAAACAAATGTTCTTCCCCCTGAATCACAGCTATGTGCCTCTGCTTTTAGTGTCCTGCAGCTGAATGAGGGCAGCAGAGGTGGGGGGGCGGCGGGGAGGGATTATTTGTATCGCTGAGTCAAAGTGTCCATCTCCGCCTCAGCCTTAAAAGGCGGAGACGGCTCTTTGCTAATGCCCCGGTACATTCTGAGCCGAACTAGGTCACCTAACAATGCGCAGAGTGCCGGCCTCCCGCTCCTGCATTATACATTAAGTATAACGTGCCATGGTTACTTGGGGCCCCAGAAGCTGCTGTTTCATCCAGCCAAAGCGCACGGACGTGACATTTGATATCATTTCACGCCGCTGAACGTCGGGGTCTTGCCGGGTTCGATCTGAAGACGCGGAACGGGGCGATACGGCATCCCACTTAAAGCATGCAGCCCAAAGGTTGTACCTGAGAAGCTCTGTGGGGTCTGTGGAGACCCGGGAATGTCCAGGATCCTTCTGGTGTGCTGCTTCGAATGGATTTTTGCCCCCATGTGTTTCAGTGGGGTTGGCCGTGGGGCAGACAGAACGGTTACCTGCAAAAGCGTGTGAGATTCAAATCTGAACAAACAGCCAGATTTTAGGAAATTGGGCCCTTGATCAGCTCCCCCCAGTAGAAGGCCAGGGTTTGACTCACCGCACAGTTGTAGCAGTTTCATGGTGGAATATGGTCGGCCTTGTTGGAAGGGCGGATGCAAATAGTTAGTGTCTCCTTCAAACTCCCCATGAAGTGTAAAAAAAAGCTTTAGGTTTTTCTTTAGGAAGTGCAGAGCCGGCAGGCAAGTATGATATTAATCTCAGGTAAAAATATATATATTTAAAATTAGAATAATTAAACTATCCTCTCTCCCCCCCCCCCCCCCCCCCCCCCCTACCCCAGGAGAGAGCGCATTTCGAGAGCCTTGGTCATCATCTAGGGAAGCTGGCTGAAGATGGCAAGATGGGTCACAGAGTCATCGATCTCACCAGGCCCGAGGACATCGATGGTGAGTCTCCCTCCCCCTCCCCCTCTCCCCAGACGCACTGGCCATATACTTTATTATTCATTTTGGAGTATTACTACTCCTTCAACAGTGCCAACGTTGTGGGTTAAAATCCCTGATAGCTCACATAAATTGTAATCCTTTCCTCTACTGTATGTCACTTCAGATAAAAATGTCAGAAAAATGATGAATTATGTTGTCTGTTGACATGGGGACTGCATCACGAAGCAGGATTTGCTGATTAGCTAAATAACTTGTCGGATTTAGGGTACCCCAGTCTAAATGGCCTTTATGGCTATGTTCACATTACCAGGCTGAAGTGACTCAAATCTGATGTTTTGCCTTAATGTAACACAGATCTGATGCTTTCATGGCTGTGTGGACAGAGAAATCTGACCTTTTCAAATCAGATTTGAGTCACTTTCATGTGTGGCCCTAGATCAGATACGTATCTGACTTGTAGCCATTCGACATTAATGTGAACAGTCAGTTCGGAATTAATGTGTTTTTTTGCCTCTCCGCATGTGCTTAGCATTTTTTGTTGTTGGTGATTCAGATGACTTGTGCAAAAACGTATCAATGTATGCATGCATGTCGTTTCAGAGGACAGATGCATTCACATTACAAGTACAGGTCACTGGCAATAATGAGTGTAAACGCATTAAGATGGAATTGGACAGTGGCTTTTTATGCTGACATAGCCATTTAGCCCAGACTACGTTAAATCTGACAAATCATCTTACTTACCTAAAAATCCAGCTTTGTGATTCAGGTCCCTGTTCAGTTGCTTCTTGTTATTCTCCTCTGTTATCAGTGCTGGGGTTTTGGGTCTGGGTCTGGGTCTGGGTCTGGGTCTGGGTCTGGTCCCTGGTGGGAAAAGGGGATGTATTAGCGGTACTCAGCTGCTTGATGCTTTACTGGGTCCTTCCATGTCTGCTGTGGGGGACCCAGCTCTGGCGATGCTAGTTAGGCACTAACGAGTATTCCTCATTAGCCAGACCTGGGGTTCAATGCCAGTTGATATTATGTTTCTATAAACCACAAGTCAAGGCCCGGCTACTTACAAATGATGAAAACGGCATTGAGAACGTCCCTGGATGGGCCCCGTCGGCCGGTGACTCAGAGGAGGTGAAGCCGCGGGGGGTTAACGGGGGCCGCAGAGCAGAGCTGGGGGCGGGCACGGCCAGCGGCTGTGTATGGCACCAGTTTGGAGGTTTTCACGGGTTGGCGGGGAAAGCTGTGGGCCTTGGAGGACAAAGCCGGCAGCTGTCCAGCTTCGGTGCTCATTTGAGGACCCCGGCACGGCAGTGTCAGACCTGCCTGACGAAGACTCGTGCCCCTGACGCGTGGACCACGGGGCGGGGGCAGATCCGTGTGCCAGTGTTTGTCAGACGTAAATATCGGTTTCCATGGTACCCCGGAGCCCGGTTGGAGAAATGTGGTCAGGGTCTCGATTGAAGCCAGTGTGGCGGTGTTAAGACAGGCAGAGAGCGGGCCCTCAGCTGTGTCTAAGGCTTGGTAGTTAATAAAACCAGAAAAAAAGAAAATATTTAACCCAGCAGGAACACAATACTTTTTTTGGTCGTAAACCCCAGAATACAAACCCACCTGCTTCCTATAAATGCTGCTGTTTACGTTTTATCCGGATTAAAATCCATCTGTCTCGGGTCAGCTTGAAATCAAATATGTAAGCAAAAGGGCGTGAGGGTGGCGATTCTCCTGGCCAGCTGAGCTGCCATGGATGTTTTGCTCAGCAGCTTGCCGCTTAGAAGCAAGACCCACCCTCGGGGGGGGGGATTGGCTCTCCGTGGTGGGTTTGGCGGACAGGGGGACCATCCCTCTCTCTTTGCTGCTGTGGGGTCCCGAGCCCCGACCGATGGGCTGAAACTCTGAAGAGGAAACTGGGAGGCATGAACCTTGGTGGGCCCTGATTTCCTAGCAGGCCTTCAGTGAGGCCCGCAGAGGATCCACCCCTGGGGGGGCTGGGGGGGGGGTGGCCATACGCCAGGCTGTCGCTCATAACTCCGACATATGACCCCATTTCATCTCTCCACATGTGCATCTGTCTATTCGGGCAGCACCACCCGCCAAAACACAAAATGAATCATGTGAAGATGACTTTATGGAGATCATCCCACATCAGGAAGTTCCTTTTCACGACCAAAATGTGCTCACAGCATCTGGAAACTGGTGCAGTGCGTCCCGCTTTGGATTCCTGGCCCCGGCGGCATCTCGGCTATGCCGAACCGGGAGCATAAACGCACTTCACACTCGCTGGATGAAAAGAGCACCCCCTACGTAGCTTCACAGAGACACAGAGACGCGCAATATGCGACGGTCACAGCGCGAAATGCGACGGAGTAAAGCACGCCCAGCGTGCTGCGTCCCTGGCTGTGTAAACGCCTTGCGGGTGGCTGCAGCAGGCCTCTGTGTGCCCCCCCCCCCACTTACGAGCGTTTTATTCCCTCTTTAAATAAGCGGTAATGTAAGGGAGCTGCTTGTGATTAAAGGTCAATTAAAGCCTTTGAGCCGCAATTTCTGTCCTTTAACTATGCAGCCCACACCATGCAAACATCTCACTGCTTCTCATTAAGGCAGGGGGGGGGGCGCATGGGCAAACTGGAAGACAGGATCTCCCTAGCACCCATAGCCTGTTCCTATTTCACCCGGGTCCCAGCTAGGTGGCATGAAAGGGCAGAGAGACCCCGCCCCCGCCCCCCGCCCCCTGCCCCAATCATTGCTGCTCCTGCCGCCCGGAAAGCCTTAGGCTGCTTAAACCAATATTTGTTATGCGTGTGCAGTCGAATTAACAACTGCCAGGAGCTCTAACGAGGGGCCCTGGGAAGCGGGAGCGCGGGGTTGTGGAGGCCAACGGCGCTTCCCGCGCCTGCCGAAGCCGCAGGCCACATGCGTCGCTCCGCCGCCGTGTGGCGGCGCCCTTTCAAGCTCACATGAGAGGCATTAGCGGGTCCCGCGTGGAGCTGACGCCCGGCTCCTTTGTTCGATCATATGGGGCCCCGCCTAAGTTGTGGGGAGGCCGAGCCGCGTGTCTGGCTGAGAGGACCGGCGTCGGGGACGACTCCAGCAGAACAAAGGAGGCGTTGGGGGACCGCGGGCCGGAAGCCGACTAATCAGAGGGCGTTTTGTGACAGTGTCGGCCCAGTGTGGAGAGGAGGGTCGGATCGGCTATTAATGGCCGATTGACTCCATATGGGCTGGCCAGGCGAACGGATTTTTTTCCCCATTGTGATTTATTCGTATAATTATATCTTAACCCGTTTTTGGCTGCGCTCCTGCGGAATTGTTGTGAGAAAATCGATGTGGAGCGAACAGCGGAAAAGTGCTGTCACTCTCTCGCCCGTCCCCCACCTCAATCGGCCCGACAGAAGCTTGGACCGCCTTGCTGATCATCACAAAATGATAAACAGACGGCCGCAGTTTAAAAGGGGGAAAGAAGGGATGGATTTTAAAGAAATCCGGCTTGTGATTTTTACAGTGATGTCAACCCCTTGTTTAATAGAAAGAATTATACTTAAGTATAAAATGTAATACAAGAGAAGGGGTCTTCTGCAGCTGTGCTCACGCATCCGTGTCAGTAAAAGTACCCGTGAAATTTCCCTATGGCTGGGATTTTCCAGGACACTGTCGGCAGCAGCGGCTCGCCCTCGCTGCCATGCGGCGCTCATGCCGCCCCCGTTTTAATTGATACGCTGCTCCGCGCTGGAGGTGTAAAAAGGGACTCGCGGTGCCCGACTCCGAACCTTGTGGTGTGTGAGGTAAGGCACAGGAGTCGAGAATAAAAGGCCGTGAACGCAGGCGGCAACACACGGCGCGCTTAGCCCCGTGTAAACACGGCGGGGCCTGCTGACGGAGACACACTCACAGACAGGCTCGAGGAACAGCTACTCTGTGCTACGGCTTAATTACCCAGATATGAGCGCTGTCATGCTTCACCTTTGTCGTTATTTAATGCGTTTTTATGGTGTATTGATTAATATCGCTTCACCGGGGCAGGTTGGCGTAGTCGCGGCCTTTTCATTGCCACATCTGGTTTTGAGCTGATTTTTGCGTGTCATGCCATGCGTGTGTGTGTGCGTGCATCACGTGTGTGTATACATGTGTGTATATACGTATACACTTGTTCGCGGAATGAAGTAAGGGGGGGGGGGGGTCTGAAGCAGACCTGGTTTCTCAGCCCCGCCCTCCCTTTCACTCGCGTCCAGGTGTGCTGGCCGCAGGTGTGATAGGCAGCGTAGCTTTCCGGAATGTTCCGGGGCCGGTAATTAAGGCCGCCTCCTGACTCTTTAGTGCACTTTCACCAGGGGAGGCAGATTAGTAAGTGATTCACATATTGCTCTGTCACAGTCCACCTCAGGCCTCATAAATCACAATAAACACCATCATGACGCCCCTGGACCCAAACATGCACCGGGGGGGGGGGGGCAGGGCAGCGGGCCACATCGACACCAGGCGTCTGCTTCTACTTACGCAATCACACACCTAACCATGTCCTTCCTGCGATACCTGCCGTATCCAGTGCATATTAAATTATACGATTGCTGTTATTATGCTTGTTCCAAAACAACCATTTGTTTGCTTTATTTCTTTATTCTCATGTGAGAACCTGTACTAGCTAGTCGGGCTGCCGGCCATTCAGCCATTTCTACTGGGGCAAGGGTCCCCTTGTGAGGCAAAGGGGGCAACCTGGATTGGCAGCAGCCCCCGGAGTGAGGCGCATGTAAGCCCCTCCTCCCCGTGCCCGTAGCCCCCCTCCGCACCACACACACCCCCCCGCCTCACTCATCAGGAGGACCAGGCCTCATTCTTGTGGTCTCCCGGGCTCAGATGATTGATCGTCTTCAGAGCCTGGAGTTGCTCTGTCCCACAACAGAAGGGATTTTGTTTTTTTGGTCGGGCTCCACGCTCGTGGTCGACGGCTGCAGACCCCACCTACCATTTACAATTATCATAAATAGATCAAAACATTATTCCACGTCTTGGGGGATCTGCCTCGCCGTGGTGTCTCCGCTCCAAAATGGCAGATGATCGCCATAGAGATGGCAGCCCCGCCCCCCCCGGCCCCGGCCCCGCCCCCTTGCTGGCACCTTCAATCAGCTGATTGAAAAGGTGGCCCGGCCCCGCACCCGCCCCCACCCCAGCACCCGCCCTGGCCGTGCTGTTTGCACTGGGTTTCTCAGACCCCGGGGAGGCTCACCTCTGACTACACGCTGCCCCCCGTGTATAAATTACTGAATCAGTGTCAGCGCTGAAGTAACGGTAGCGGGGCTGTCGTAAATCAGGGCAGGGGGAGCAAAGCGGGAGCGGACAGTGGCTGTCCCCCCCCCCGCCATGCGCGCCCCGCTCCGCTCACACTGTAATGGATGCCTTCATCTGGGCCAGCAGTCGCGGGATCAGCCCCCGCTGATGGATACTGTCAGGTCCACATTTCACTGCACAATAAACATGGCTGTCAGGCCGTACAAAGTGAAATCAATTCATCCTGTACAGTGAGTGCGTGCTAAATGAAATTAATGTACTGTGGGGACACTGGCGGCTAAGGTAGCGTTTCTTCATGCCCCCAGCCCCCAGCCCCAGCCCCCAGCCCCCCCTCACCCAGCTTAAAGTGCCAACAGCACAGAGCTTGGATGGGGGGTGGCTGTAACAAGAGTGGCTGACTGGTTCCAGCCACAGAGCAGCTGGCCAGCTGTGTGACTCTTGTCATATAAACTGGACTGTGTGTTTGCGTGCGTCTGTGCGTGTGTTTGTATATGCGTGTGTTTGTGCGTGTGTGTTTATGTATGTGTCTGTATCTCTGCGTGTACAGTTTTTTGCACAGAATGGCATAAAGAGAGATGGCCCCCTTTGTTAAACAGTCTTTATTTTTATTACCTCGCTCCCCCACCCCTCAAGCAAATGTTTGCGTGTCTGGAGGGGGCTTTACACCAGTGACTAAGCACTTCCTGTTCCTGGATCGGGGAGGGTCGGGCAATGCCTGGGGCCTGCAAACGGCAGCCTGAGAGCCAGGCGAGCCAGCCCCCTTCCCCCCACCCCGTACCCCGGACCTCTTCCGGGACCTTGCCCGATGCGCCGTGACGGTGCGAATAAGCAAATTGTGCCCCCCTCCCCCCAGATTAAGGGAAGCCTTTATGGATCCATAAATGTGCTACTGTGACTGTTAAACATGAACCAGTGAGAATGGATTTATGGTCCCTTGGGGTAGTGTGGTGCAGTCTTTTGGGGGGGGGGGGTGGTGTTCAGTCCTCCCTCCCAGAACCCCCCTAGCTGGACTGGAGCCCCTCGGCCTGTTTACTATGGCCGCCCACCTCGGTTCCGGCCGATGGGCTTCTGTTCCCACCTCTCTGCACCGGGGAGTCCGTGTGTCACCGAGGACGCCGGTCTGCCTGTGCCATTTCCTTTCGTTTATAAACCGGCCTAATAATTGCGAAGGGAACAGGTGACGAGCCAGCAATGCGTGCAGAACAACCTAATGAATGCGCTTCACATGTGGACGATAAAATATTCATAAGTCCTTCCAAGCTTTCTTTTCCAGTTTTTGCATCATTAAAGATGCATCCTAGCATATGGAAAGCTTTTTTTTTGTTTTATTTTTCCAGCCTTGATTATCGACATGTTTTTGTTTGTTTAAATATTCATGCGGCTTTTATTTAATTCTTTCACATCTTACATATAAAGGGAAGCAAATGTGCATGCAAACAGGAATAATCTTCACTCTGGTTTAAAGTTAAATGCAGAGATTTCCCATTCTGATAGAGAGCGGTCCGAGCGCAGCTTGGTCGTTGGCTCGGGCCGCTCCATGTCGACGGCACGTTTCAAACACGGATGTTTTATTAAGCGCTGCTCAGATTCCTCTTTTTCTCTTCGGCCTTTTTCGAACCCTCTGATATTAATGACTCGATGCCATATTTGGTATTTAGGTTGGCATTATCCTGTGCCTGGATCAGGCTGCCCAGGCTTGAAATACACCGAGTCAAATATAGAGGCTTGTACACGCAAAGGCTGTGAAAAAATATTTAACCATCATTTAAGTTCAAGATCCGTACTGGTCTTAGATGGACTGAGGTGCTTGGTTGATGAGTTCCTCACAATAATATCCTTGTTCTTACTCTTACGGTTCCCACTCACTAAGCTCTGCTTTAGAGGGGCAAGCTTGGCCTTCCTGCATTTTGTTACGCTTCTGTGGCCAGTACAAGATGAGAGCTTTTGGGCGATGAGTCGTGGCCTTTGAGAAATGGGTGAGACCTCTGAAAACCCCTCTGTGTTGCATTAAACCTGCGCGGATTCAGGGCAGAGATGTGGACGTCCGGCTGGAAACGAGTAACGGATCCTGTCGCTCTCTCTTCTTCCTTGCTGTGGTGTTTCCAGGTAAAAAAGGAGTCAACGGCTCAGCAGATAAACCACAGCAATATTATTGTTGGCCAACAGGAGGCGCCAGCACAACTGAGGCACGTGTCTACAGGGAATCTCGGGGAAGGAACAGCAATGAGCCCCACATCAAGCGACCCATGAACGCCTTCATGGTCTGGGCGAAGGACGAGAGGAGGAAGATCCTGCAGGCCTTTCCGGACATGCACAACTCCAACATCAGCAAAATCCTCGGTGAGGTGGCTTCCCGCATGTCTCTGTCTCAATGACCAAGCATTTGGGGACAGTTTTTAGCCAAAAGGACTGTATATCTCCACTGCTCTGTGGTGCCCCTAGTGTCAAGATGTGGTGGTTCCCCCTATTTACACATAAGCAGGCTTTTGAAAACGCCTTAGAAACTCTAAACAAGAAAACACTGAAAATGACATGTGACTTGTCTTAATTAATTTCTATCTAGTTAAATAACAGCATTAGTAAGCAAAGTCAGAAGCCTCTTCTGCATCTCAGGACTGACAGTCCTACAGTTAACAAGTAAATAAAAATATTTATAAATAATTCCATTTTTTCTCTCTATATATACATATGGATGATAGCAGGTTGAGTTTGGTGGTAGTTATTCTGAAATAAATAATATCTTAACACTGCTTTCTTATAGTTAAGGTTACTGCTAAATTGAAATAGCATTAATGCCAACCATAAAGCACAAAGATATTTTAAAACTCATTTACAGTAATACTCTTTTGCCATGTGCCCTGCGCTGCCTGGAATGGGATCCCGACTCATTCTGCCATAGATAACAGGAGTTTTTTATCGTATAATTTGTATTTGTTAAAATCTAATGATTTTTATTCATGCCATTGGTGGCAGTTGTGCATAATATGTCTGACTGGTCTGTTTAAAAAAACGAATATACGCCTGTTTGAAAATATTGCCTAACCACACAAAAAAGGAAACTGATTTAATATTTTGAAACAATTTTTTAAAATTCAGTTTCTATTTATTCTTTATTTTGTTAACATTTTTTATTGACTTCAAAAAGTTTCAAAATATTTTCATACTATTCACATTTCTCCAGGTAACCCAGGTATGTCTCATTATAATAAATATGCAGTAAATAAATAAAATGTGCATAATCTGACCGCAAAACTCGTTCCATATACACAAAATAAATATACATATGAATGCAGAATGGTATTGCGAGTCCATTAATTGCCCCTGCAGTTTGGTCTTGCGATACCTGTGTGAGAGTCTTTTTCAGCTGTGCATAAACACTTAGCTGTTTGCCTGCTGGCACGCATGATAAATGTTTTGTGTTTAAAAGCCCTGTGTTAATAACAACAAGGAACAGTAGTCCATTCATAAAACACTGAAACGCCGTGGAAGTTAATGGAAGCGGCTGGGCGGTGGAATTAGTGGTGCTGTGTATGGCGACACAAGCCCAAATTGTGTGTAGGTGAAATAAAGGCTCGACAGAAATGGACTTCAGTTGGGCAGCGACGCCCCTAACTGGGTCAAATAAATAGGCTCCTGTTTGCTGGCTTGTTTGTTCATCAAAACCCACAGAGGATATGGATGCGTTTTTTTTTATTTCAGCTGATATTAATTGCGTTAATTGAAAAGAAATACATTCTGGAAGCCTCGTGTTAATTCTGGTGCTGTTTTCATTTTTTGTGAACTCATTTGTTTATCTGCCTATTGTTGAACGGATTCGTTTGAAGTGTCGTAGCGCTAAAAGTACCCTAGTAGGTGGCACCGTGTTAAAGCTGCAGGCCTCGCTGTCTTGCTGTCCGGCAAGTCCTGAAGGATTTACTACCTGCCGACGGGGGCATTATTCGTTATGAAAAATGACACGGCTAAATGGGTCTCTTCCCCTGGTGCTGAGAGCCAATATATCACAGTACTAAAAGTCTCGTAACGTACGTTACAGTAAGATGGTCAAAATATTTACAGGTTTGTGTTTTCTGGTAATGCGCCGGAAAAGCCAACCTGAAGCGAGGTTGAGCGCGGCGGGTGTGTGCCGTGTCAGTGGAATAACACAGCTGGGTTTGTGCTATGTTACAAAAATGTCGGAGTTTGGATAAACCTTGGTAAACAACAGAGGAGGCTGGGATTCCTCTGTACATCCTGAGTGCCCTGAGCCGATTTCTAATTGGCTGGCCTGACCCACAGATGTGTGGGATTCCAGGGGCCGATTCTCGGCGAGCTCCTTTTTACGATGCTCGGTGGTCGGCAGCATCCGTTCACACAGACGAACACGTTAAGGATGTCGCTCGGGACCTAGCTGTTCAATTCCTGCCGAACAGCATGTAATGAATTGCAAATTTCCACTGCTTATTGTAGCTTGAAATAGGTTTTGATGTTCAACAGCAGTTTGCGATGTGCGATACCCACATCGGTAGTTTAATCAAGACAGTGTTTTATTTCAGTCACGCTCTTAATTAATATCGTCAAGTTGATGGGGAATACAAGGCTTTCAGTAAAAATATTGCACACGGGTGCAGAGAAGATGAATTCCCAAAATTCTTAACGTTCCATTCGGTGGTTTGTGTTTCTTCGTTTTTTATTTCGGCTTTCCCTCTCCTGTCTGAAGAGAGACTCTGATGCTCCTCTGTGTCTCCAGGTTCCCGCTGGAAGTCCATGAGCAACCAGGAGAAGCAGCCGTACTACGAGGAGCAGGCCCGGCTCAGCAAGATCCACCTGGAGAAGTATCCCAACTACAAGTACAAACCGCGGCCCAAGCGCACCTGCATCATCGACGGCAAGAAGCTGCGCATCGGCGAGTACAAGCAGATGATGCGCTCGCGGAGGCAGGAGATGAGGCAGTTCTTCACTGTGGGGTACGTGCACAGTGAAGAACGGCAGCATGATAGCGCAGCTAGCCGCCAAACCCCTCCCCCCCACACCCTCCGTCCCATGATCCCGTTCGGGGACAGTCATGCCATAACAAGGCATTTCAGGTGTGTAGCATCTCGCAGCCTGGACCGCGAGCCCAAATTTGTGTCCCGCTGCTGTAAAGCTCCATTTCTCCATTAGTATCATTAAACAATCCCAGACTTTTTCGGGAAAAAAAAAAGTGACCACATTTTTTTATTCGATTTATATTTTTGGTCCCGGACAAATTTTTGCGTTTGATTTTCATGCCGTGGTTTCACGTTAGCGGCCGCGCTGTGTTCATCGTCTGGCTGCGCGCAGGACATGACGTGCGAGTGAGGTGTGGGCGCAGCCTCTCGCAGCCTCTGACTTCGGAGGGCCTGATTGCATTAATACCGCAACTCGCTAAGTCAGGTTTCACACGCGAGCTTTTCCGCGTGATTCCAACAGCATGCCCGCTAAACAATAATGGCGTCACTATCCTCCTTTTTGTTCCAGAAACCTCTGTAGTCTCTCCCCCCCATTACACCTGAAGGAGCGGTGCTGGAAAATGACTGACTTTTAGAACATATAAATCAGGGACACAACAGCAAATTTGCAGCTTTGAAATCAAGTGAAATTTAATAACTGTGTTGAAGTAGAAAAATAGTAGGCTGCATCCAGACATTATTACAGGATATAAACCCTAAACACTGACCTTAAGAAAGTGCCGTGGTACCATTCTACCCCGTAATTTATGGCGTGCGGTCTGCAGGAAGCACTCCCGCTTTGGGTAGTCGCGTCTGAGCACATTTTCCCTTTGTTTTAGTAACACAGCCGAGCGCGTAAGATCACAGACATCAAAAAGTAAAAGGCTTAGACTCTCAAAATGTGCTGTCAGAAATTTTCTTGAGTCATTTGCCTTGTGTAATATTTAATGGCTAATTAAATAGAGGAATGTATGTATATTTGTCTGTGTATATGTGTAAACAGAGAGAATTGTATGACATTTAAATGTAAATACATGTACATTCCTTGAATTTTTGAAGAAGGTAATTATTTCACTTTGTGCTGGCTGTTGACCCAGTTAAAAGGCTTTCATCAAGGCAGATGTGTTATACGAGCCAGTTTGGACTCGTCTTACCGTAAATCGGTGGCCCTGCTTACCGACTCAGCTGCCTAAAAATGAGTCCGGTTGCTGCTTCCCGGCTCTGACCCGTCTCTGTCTTTCTTGGTCTCCAGGCAACAGCCCCAGATCCCCATCAGCACCAGCGCCGGTGTGGTGTACCCTGGCACCATAACCATGGCCACCACCACGCCCTCCCCACAGATGACGTCGGACTGCTCCAGCGCCTCGGCCAGCCCCGAGCCGGCCATCCCCGTCATCCAGAGCACCTACGGCATGAAGGTAGAGCCCAGCACCATGCTGCCCGGCGAGGCCATCAACGGCGACGATGACATGGACATGTACGAGGACTTCGAGGACGAACCCAAATCGGACTACAGCAGTGACAATGAGACACAGGAGCCGGTCAGCGCTAACTGAGCCCAGCCCGGCGGGCATCTGACAGACTGGTACCAGAAAGATCCCGAGAGGCAGGGGGAAAAAAAAAAAAACAAAGGAGAAATAGCTAGAATGAAAGAAAAGAAACTCATTTCTTAACGTATATCTCTTGGAGCCTGCATGCAGATGTGGCTTCCATGGATTCAACAGCTATTTGTCTTCAATGTTTTAAAATGTGTGAAGTAGTTTGATTGTTTTCATTTTACTTTTGTTTCACAGTTTTTATTTTGGTCACGGACGTTTTACACAGCTAGGTCATTGCCTACGAGACTTCGGATGTCAGGACTTGAAATTTAACATTTAATACGAATGCATAGCTCTCACAGTCTTAATTTGCTCTTACAAATACATACCCGTATATATATTTTTTTTCCTTTTGAATGCTTTTAATAGCTTACATTACTGTTTGTGATGGGGGGTATATATTCTCACTCAGGTATGCTGTGCCAGCCAACAGCTCGTGAATGTGTTTTTAATCTGAAAATGAGAAATGGAAATAGGTGCGATACAATTTCTAGCGGAGACGAGACGTAGAGCAGGTCCACAGGTGTTCTGAGGAGCACAGAGAGAAAGGCTCCCTGACCTTTATCATTCTTCATCGCTTGTTTCTTTTAGTATAGTTTTGACTCTAGATGTGCCAAACCTCTTCTCGACCCTTCTTCACGCGCGCATCTTAAATCCACGAGTCTTAAGGGAGACCCCCGACTGAGTCACCGACAATCCTTCTGCATTGTAATTGGTAACCCCCCCACCCCCCACCCCTGAACCGCCATTCAGGGCTGGGCCTGTAGCCACGGTGGTTCCAAAGGGGTCCGGTATACAGTAGTGATCGCCGACCCCCACTGGCAGTCGTGGCTTCAGAGACCAGCTTACCCAGTCAGTCCTTAATCAGAGTGATTGTAATCAGGCCAAAATGCCGAAGGGGCCAGAGGCCTGCACTCTGTGGGATTGAAAAGGCAGTAAGATGCAGCTTTGCTCGTGTTACAGTCGCAAATTGCTCTTGTACATTATGTACAGTACATTCTGTTAAACACTTCAGCCCCTAGAGGAACATGAAGTTTAAACTCCTTGATCTTAAAGTCTTTTTCTGACACTTAAGTCTTTTTTTCCTGCATTGTAAATCTTAATCAACACACAGAGTCTTAAGTCTGAAGCCCACAAGTGGGTCCACACTTTCCCCATCATCACCCGAGTCTTACCCGTCTGCAGAAGGGACAGCTCCGCCCCCATGCCGGGCTGGCGAGCCACCCCGCAGACACGTACTAAGGGCGCTATATCCCGTTGCATTCTGCGTGCGGATCATTTCTCTCCAGACACCTGAAGAATACCTTGATCCAATTGGATCGATTGGTTGCCTAGTTACGGTAATCGATTGCAGTTAATTGTTTCTAAGGATGTTAAGGACAGATTGGTAAAATCCGCACCTCTGGCTCAAAGTCTTAGAGGAGTAGGTGACCCCATGACCCACCCTGAGGTCAGGAGGATCTTCATGCGCTTGAGCAGCTCACAGGTGGTTGCCCCGAAAAAGGACAGCCGTGGGACAGCCAGCTGTCAACAGAGCCAAGTTGGCTCCCATCCCATCAAACCCCCCCTCCCCCCATACCCTGCCCTGCCCAGCCTGTATTTCAGTGAGGTCGATACCCCACCCGGCCGGCCCATCCGCACGGCGGCTCCTGCTCCTGGTGACCCCCCCCCATCCCCCCCCGCCCCTCATCCCACCCTGCCCCAAAGGGAGGCATTTGGCTCTGAGTGGCGTGGAGTGTCAGCGAGAGGGAGGGGTGCCATCGATTGTGCTCTTCATGCTGCCGTTGGCAAGCAGATGGAACATGTACGTCAAGCTGTGTGGGGATTATGAAAACGACTTGATGAGTCGGTATCGCCTCAAATACTGCATTATTAATGTATGAGTCCTGTTATTCTCTGTACGCCCTTGAACCCGCCTGTTTCAGCGCAAAAACGAGCCGTAAAGAACATTTACATTTACAGTCATTATTATTTACTCGTCTCAGCTCGTGCTGACGGTCACCGAATTCCTACATTTACAGATACTTGTCTAGATCCTTTATTTTCCTCTTTCCTCACTGCTCCCAGAGTTTGGGATTAAACATTTTGATCAAATTTATGATGACCCTTGTTTGCAGGCAAGATATTTATTAAGCTTTTGGAAGTTTTTGTAGTAGATGCTTTTTTTGTTATAGTTATTTTTTGTCTCTTTTTTTTAAGATTAAGACGCTAAGTCTGGTTTTCTAAGCAGGCTGAATTCCGCATCCCTGCAGGCCGACACATCGTGGCATGTTCAGCTTTTATCCTCAATTTCCTGATGTGTACATGATCTGTAGGGTTTGTTTTTCATGACCATGCCAAAACAATGTTATGCGGGCTGGTGGTGAACAAAGGACTGTTCTTGGGACTGAAACTTGATTGCGCTTATATTAAAAAAGAAAAGGGGGAGCAGATTTAAAACTCACAAAAAACATTGTTTCTTAAGTGTTATAAGCACTGGATTTAAATGGTATTTTTTTTTTAAATCAATTCTGACTAATGTGAAGCTGTTGTACGAAAAAAAGAAACGCTACACAAACTAAAGGACACCAGTTTGGACTCGTGTGGGCACGTCTCACAGTTGCCAGATTTGAGTCGTATTTCTGTCTGGTTTTTTCATTTATTTATGCAAAAAAAAACACGTGTACTGAACGGACACTTTGTTTTAGCTCCAGTTCTGCCTAAGGAAGAATGTTTGGTGGACTTGGCCTGAGGCTCCTGTACTGGCTGGTCAGCTGACGTATGCCAGACCCCCTGAAGCTGGTACTATTGGTCACATGTTTGTGTTGTATATTGTATTTGAATCTATATAGTGCATATAGACGTTTTATTGTATTTATTAGCCAGTGTCGGCTCTAAAAGTGTCAGTACAACATAATAAAAGGACAATCAGAAAATAAACGAATAAAAGCATTGAGATTTAACTCTGGTTTTGGAGCTCAAAACAAAGTTTCTTGTATTTTTTTTCTTACATTCACCATCTCATTATAGAATTGAAATTGTAAATATAACATAGGAAAAATAGAAATCTATTTTTGTTCATGAATACTTAGTGAAGTATGCATTGTGTATTTGACTGTTTAATTTTTCTTTTTGGTTTTTGTTACATCGGTGTGGGTCGGTCCATGTTATATAAAAAAAAAAGTAAACCTGACAAGTCACTGTACCTCATGATGCTGAATTTGCAACCAAGATGAAAGAGAGCAGTATTGTACTTGCTCTTCAGATGGCCTGGCACCTTGCTTGTTTGTGTTTCAAATGTGTTTCTTGGCTGTCCAGAGAAAGAGCTGAACCCACCCTCCCCAATGTAAAAGCTTTGGATGCTGTTCTCAAAACACACAGACGTGATACCAGACTCTCACGTGACCTGGTTTGATACAACACCAAGCAGGCAAATGGTAATTGCCTTTTTTTTTAACAAAGATAGTGTTTAAAGATCTTAACATTGGCTGCTGTACCAGACACGCATTTAGCCCATTGTTGTTAATTAAAGCCTGTGTTTGCAATTAACAAAAAAAATAATTGTGGTCAGTTATGTTTCAAGTAGCAATTTTAAGGTCCTCAGCAGTCCTTCAAATATGTGCCAAATTTGGACAGGAAAATGATACAGATAGAGATTGACGTGCATTTCATCTGTGGCTGTTTAGTGAAAAAAAAAAAGATTCAGCACCAGGCATTGATTCAGAACCAGGTATTTTCTTGATACACATCTACTCAATGACAAGTGAAGTTTTTGGTGACCTTAGATTATAGGGGATGTGCAAATATTTATTAGTCTGTATACTGCGAATCGCAGAGCCACCGGTGTGCATTTTCTGTCATTTTTTTTGTTTTGTATTTTGTTTTTTTTATGAAAACTGACGTATTTATAATTTCGCCCATCACACCTTGTGGCAGCCTTTGTCCACTTCGCGTTCCAGTTCATCCATTGTTGTCTTTGCCATGTAAAACCGAAATAGATGATATCACTGACGTAACTTACTGTAATTTTTTATTTTTTTTTTGACGTTGGACCTTGTGATGTATATTATGATATTGTTCTACGTGTTAATTTAATCAGCACAATTCACTGACATGCTGGACTGACATGATAGCTGCTGTTCAGAAAGTGTACAATTCTCTGCCAGGGGCAACCCAAGGTGTTGTTGATGGTACTCCGTTTTGTTTTTTTTTTTCTTTTAAGTATTTTTTTATTTTATCTTATTGTCTTAAGCAACACTGTAGTTGTGGCTCGTCTGTTGCTAGGGCTGCTGTTACTCTAAAAACCCGTTAGCGAAACTCCTAAACGCGACACAAGTTCTCTCAGCGGAGGATCCCTACGTCAGCAGGTACCGTGACCCACGACAGGTTTTGAGTGGGTGTTACTAGAAATGATAAAATAGTGTCTGTTGCTGCTTTGAAAAAAAAAATGTTTTAAGTCTGAAAATGTAAATACTTTATCAGAATATCTTGTACAGTCCAGTGTAAAGTTTTTAATTGAACTTAAAAAGGTTACCATCAAGCTGTGTTCGCACTTGTCTTTATACAGTACAAAAGACAGCTATTTGCTAAGGATATGGTTGTTTTTAAAAAGATAAAAGATACTAAAAAATTGTTTTTTTTTTTTTGGTTTTTTTTTGCTTGGCTTTAAAATATAAACCAGCGAGTCATTGGTTTCCATGTGCAGTATTGACTTTTAAGGTAAAATAACTTCGGTGGTACTTACGGAGAGCCTTCTCCATTCTTTCGTTAGTATTAACACAGAACAGGATGACGCACCAGGCCAAGTGACGCTTTCTGGTCCATGTATGGCACCCTTGTCACATGTCCTGGTCACATGACTTTTTTCTCCCTCACAGAATGCATACCATGTCTGGCATATTGTAATGTAACACCATTATTCTATATACTTAATCAGTTGATGTAACATGTCAGGGGTTGAGAACCCCTTTTGGGTTGTGTGGGTTGGGTTGGGGGGGCAGTAGGGGTGGGAAGGGGTGTGTGACTGCCTGTTTAAGCTCATTTACCTCAAGAGTGTCCTCTTTTCCTAAAAAAATGAACCATACAACAAAAAAAACCATCTCACCGTCACTCCATCTTTTGTACTGCTGTTGACACTTACAAAATTAAAGAGAAATTTTGTTTTAAGGCTTTGCCTTGTTTTCTTGTGCTGTCCTGGGTACCCTCACATGATAATTAAATATTGGTACTGGCAATAAAATATAATTTAAGTTTCAATCTTAATCTAAAGACCATGTAAAACCTAGCAGCATTTGCAAGTCACGTTCAACGATAATTAAAGAGAAGCTCAAAATGTCAGACCTGAGAGTAAATATATATAAAATACCTTCTCTGCTATACTCAAAATACTATTTAAATATTATCAAAATATGCTGGTGAAACGTGGTAGTATTTCTACCACCTAGATTTTTCCAGAACACATTTGAAGGCTTGAAATATCAAAAAGAATTTTTTATCAACAAAAAAGTTTATAAAATAATGGTAATGCTGTGTTTAGAATAATTAAATAGTATTTTAATATTTACACCATGAAAATATGTTTCATTTCAACTTCTAATGCAGTTTCTTAAAGGGCCTCTTCACTTTGTAAATGTATAAATGATTGCTTGTTTCTTCAAACAACAGGCATATTAAAGCAGAAAGATTATGCTTTGATTTGGTAAGAGTAGCTAATTTAGTTTTTTTAATGTTGTTTTTTAAATGTGTGCTTTTCTGCAAGTTTGTGAATCAGACAGCCATCCGAATGTGTCAATACTCAAGAAACAGCTTAACTTTCCCTAACTCGCAGATCTGTTCATTTGTATAGTATTTGAGTAGGCTCGTAAGTTAATCCACCTGAATATGTTGCATTGTGTAGAAAGGCATTTATGTAAATTAGTTAAATATAAAAAAGAAAAAAGTTAATTGTGTAAATATGTACAGAACAATAAAATGCTATTGTTTTGAAAGCTATATTGTATCTATGCAGGTATGGTCTTATTTATAAAATACCCCAGCAACAAAATCACAGTAGTAACCAGTACTAATCATAACTATTAACCTTGGCAAAGATGAAATACCATAAGAAAGCAAATGCAACAATTACTTTAGCTTTCTGAAGACTGACCAATAGGTCTATTTTCAGAGGAAGGGAAGCCTCAAATTGTATCCAAATTAAATTCTTTTGTATCGACTGCTTTCCCGTATTTTACGAGTCATTAAACAAAGCGGACTGAGATTAGTCGAGGTAATGCGTTGCACACGGCCTGTAATTACTTCCGCCAAAACAACGCTTTCGACCAAAGCCACGTTTTCCCCGAAAGTGGAAACCTGGCTGCCAAAAGAGAATAACACAGTATAGTGACTGTATCGTATGGCACATTTAACCGTGGTGGGGAGGACTTACAGCACGCTTCTGTTTCACTCAGCATAGTCAGAGTGGCAGGTGAAAAAATAAAATAAAATAAGAATCTTCCAGAGCCCACGGAACTCGCCAGCTGTGCTGAAGCCCACTGGGTGTAATTTGTTCAGTTTGAAGAGTACTGTTAAAAATGTACTTGAAAGTACTGTAAAGGATCAAGACACTATGATCTGATTTCCAGACTGCTGAGGCGTTCATTTTGGTGCATTGTTGCCCTTTTGTGAATGCGAGACATTTAATTTTCATGGGTCTTTATTGTCAGTTTTATTGATTTCTGTCTGCACACAGACCGTTCCTTTATGTTTTATGTAAGAGACAGACATTAACATGATAACAGTGTCTGTTTCCTAACAAGATCATATAATTATTCCTCTTGTGTTTGCTTCTGGTAAATTTCACAGAGGGGAATTCGCTCGCTGAACAATCCCCAGCCTAGCAGAGGGGGAATTACTTTCACGAAGTACTCATTTGTCTGTCGGTCTCACCTTTTTTTTATGACTCTCTTTACTCCTTAAGTGTGTTTTTGTAATGTCATTAAGACCTTCAGTTTGCACATTACCTTTCATCTTCTCCCTTCGCTCCCCGCGGGTCCAGTCTGCCCAGTTTGACCCAGTGCACTGGGGGAGCTGAAATCCTCCAACTCACCCCACCCTCCTGCTTATCCTCGTTCTCCTCGTCCTTCGAACTCGTCTGGGCTGCACCATGAGGGATGTCTCGTTTGGCATTCGGGAAGAGATGGCGCTGGTTCTGTGAAGGGGGGGGGGAGAAGAGGCTCCGTAACCTACAGCAGGTATGTACTCAGAGGCCAACGCCCAGTGCGCCCCCCCGCCCCCCCCCCACCCCCCAAGGCCAGCACGGCTGCCAGGGCCCACAGAAGCGCGCGGCAGAAACCAAACGCCCCAAACTGTATGCGTTTACCCATCCCTGAAGTTCCTGCCATCTGTGAGTACTGCCAGCCAGCACGTGCCGCCCGCCATCGCCCTCCCAGCGGCTTTAGCTCCCCCTGGGAGTCACCGTTTACACAGCGGTGCACGGGAACGAAGCAGAATTGCTTTGTTGTTTTTGTCCCGTTTTGGGTTTTGACACTTAATCAGGGCTCCAGTGCGGCTGTGTAACACTGACTGCCAGACCTTTTGGAATCAGATAACATGTAGACACCCTGTTATGCCCCCAACTCCACCCCATAAAAAACAACAGTTTTACACACAAAAGCAGATCTGTTGCTGTTGACAACTTGCATTGTGTCAGACACTGAATTAATTAATTACCCCATCCCCCCCAAAAAAAAGTCATTGCAATGATGGACAGCGTGATGCCGGGAGAATAGCTAAGTAAGGGAAGATTTTCCTTGACTTCTAACTTACTTCTGTTTACTGCATACATTAAAAAAAAAACTTGCTGGAAAAGCTGGAAAGGGACTCCTTAAAACATTTTGGAAAGCCTTTTAAATGTGCCTTTTGTTTTTTTCATCAATCATTTCTTCCTCTTTCCAGAATGTGTAGTAAGCTCCTATTCCCCAGAGCATGCAGAAAAAAAGCCCACATTTTAACTGCTCTGCGCATAATAGATGCCTGTGTTACCTCCGCCCAGCCGAAGCACCCGGCGCTAGATGGAAAATTAGACATGTACTGCAGATCCATAAATCTCGTTGTAATTCACAAAGCTACCATCATGCGCAGGCCGAGGAAACCAAGGCACTCCTGCGTCCGTGGGCAGCGTGAGCGTCTGCACGTGGCCGCCTGAAATCATACTTGTTTCGTTGCCATTATAATCTCATAAAAAAGTTATAATAATTTACATTTCCCTCTACAACTCTCTGCCCCCCCCTCATTTTTTTTTTTTTTGTTATACAGTAACAAATTTCCCGCAGCGTCCAGATGGAATCAGAGAAGAGTATTCACTGAAGGGGGGGGGGGGGCATGTCGCTGTCTTTAAGTGGCCTGTTTGGATGAACTGTCGCAGTGTTAGTACAAAGATGGAGGTGTTTGGGCTGAGGATGATAATTAATTCTCTGCGGCCGCGTACCGCCAGCGAGGGCTGCTGTCTCCCGGCCCTTGATGACTAAACCTTGGAGCGAGTTGTGCGGAACAATATTTTACTGTTCTGGAGCCGCGGCCGGGGCACGCCAGCTGTTGCCAGGGTTTCATGAATCAGCCTGAGAGCCACGTCATGCCGCGCCTAGCTGCTGTTTATCTGATTTTCCCATTAGGCTCGACGCGCTGCGTTATCGTGCGGCGCTTGGCCCGGGGACCTCGGCAACATGCCTTACGTCAACGAGGACCCGCTAACGGCCCCCTGCGCATCTGCGAGCATTTATTTGCGTCCTGCTGCACTAGAGATTAAGCGTTTGCCGAAGCTCCGATGTTAAGTACGCACTCCTAGCTGCGCGGCCTTCCGGCAAAACTATACATGCGTTAAATGTCCCACTCTGAGTCTGGCACTTCCATATTTCTCTCTTTTCCTCTTTCCTGGATTACGAACTTTCAGTAGGACTCCAATTTTAGGCTTTCATGTTCTGCCACTAGCATATAAAAATGTAGGGTTTCCTAAACTCCATATACGTATGTAGCATGATCGCTAAATGACAACAACCTTCAGACCATGTCAATAAAAAAGGCATATCTGTATACAGAGAAAGTTTAGCTACCTAATAAACGAAGATTATGTGCCACACATCCATATTTGGCAGCTTCGAGAGGAATATGAGGTTAACGTGTCTCGGAACATTAACGTGAAGTCTTGGGTAGCTAGTGACTAGTGTTTACTGGACATACGTGTGCATATAAATCTGGCTCAGGCCCAGATCCATTTTTTAATCCGTTGAGGTGAAGGACTTAAGGAATCTTGCTACTTTCACAGATGGTTTAAAATAGATTAGTGTGGAATACTAGCTCCCAGAGATATGAGGGCCCACCAGGCTTCCTGTTTCTCTGCCAACGCTCTTCTCCGTGTTGCGGAAGTGCCTTCTAAAAGTCCTGCAAGGTTAAATTCAAACTTCATAATCCTGCAGCGGTGCCTGATTTACACGGCACTGCTTTGGCCATAGATCTCCCTGTGTGTGGCAGTCACCGGCTTTCTCTGTCTGACACTCACCTCTATTATTCGAGTGCTTTAAATTGGACCATCCTGTGACTGCGCTTTCAAACACTTCCCTACTTTTGTACCCGTTCGCCAGGGGCTGTATTTGCTAAAATGTGGCCTTGGCATTAGGCCGGGTAAAGCCAAAAAAAATCCCCGTCGAAAGTGTCATCTGAAAGGTCGACCCAATCCTTTTTATTGATATTTTAGCGATTGTTCAGTATGTTTACAAACTGAAAAACCACCCTTGTGTGTTCAGAACCCCTGTTCTTAGGAAGCGAAATTCCCCCCGCTTTAGTTTTACACCAGAACAATAGCAGTGAGGACAAAGGGTCCGGCTCAGCTTTGAAATGAATGCGGTGACCATTTGGCTCACAAAGCCGTCTTTAATTGTCTGACTTTGCCCCTGCCTCCTTGATGATGATTCGGCACAGTGCATCTAGAAGCCAACTGGTTTTGAGAAAAGGCAAAGGAATAAAAGAACAATTGGATAGTCGACATGGAGCTCAGTGTAGGCCAAGGCCGCTGACAGAGCCATCCCAGACCCAGGGAACTCAGAGACAAGGTTTTGGAAAGTCTCAATGAGTCCAGCTTGGAGTTAATGTGGGAACACAATGGGGTTAGGCAAAAATGCTCACTGTGTCTTTGT